CCATAACTCAAAAGGCCTTTGAGATATCATTATGAAACTTCATAGGTGCATAGATCTAATTCAGGAGGTGTACAGTGCACAAGAATGATAACTCTACCTTTTATAATTTTTGAGTTATTGCCCTTTGTTATTTTTCATACTTAATTTTTCAATTCAATTTTTTTCTTATCTTATCAACTTGAAACTTCATAGGTGGATAGATTTTACTGAGGAGGGATGCAGCACACAAGAATGATAACCTACCCTGCATTATTTTTCAGTTATTGCCCTTTGTTATTTTCAGCCATCAGTATTCACATAGGTTTCAAATCTGTAATCACTAAAGCCATCAGTTTTCATTATCAAAAGACCTCTTAAAATGGAATTATTCTGCTCTACTACATATACATTTTTCCAATGAGCAAACACATTCGGCGGGGGATGGCCATCTTGTTATAACCAAATTCAACAATTCACTATGCAATTAATAATGAGCGAGGTTATCCAACATATAGTCCTGAACCGATGTTTACAATTCATAAAAACTGACAGGGACATTTTTTTCGTAACAGTTTTCTCAGCAATAATCATCACAGGCTCTTGATGTGTGGTATACAAGATAAACACGTGATCCCATAAAGTGTGTTTCGATTTCAGGTCTGTCGCTCATCAACTTCCTGTTTATAGACTTAAATTAAAGTTTCAACAATAATGGTCAATGGAAGAAATTCTTTCGTAACATTACAGCCTCATGATATTTGGTATACAAATGCAACCAGCCCATTTCTGTCTGAACCTTTTTTTTCAATATCTATCATGAACAGACCCAACAAAACAAAGTCTGTAACTTACGCATTTTAATTTGTGTTTGAAATCGATAATTCCATATCATTTAGATGAAGACAAAGATGCCACAAGTTTCATCATTTTCTTCAGCCATAGCTCTGAAAGTGCTTGACATGGGTGAATACCATCTATATATAGGTCTTTGAAATTTAAAAAAAAAATGGAATTTTTCCTCTGCTTTGTCTTAGTATTTTTCTAAGATCCAAGAAAAATTTGGGGCTGTACTGACTGTTTTATTCATCGATCTTTGAATTGAAAGATGATAACAATTGGTGTAACACTTGGTCGCAGCGTTCTTCACATTGTTAACCTTTACACAGGTTTCAGTGATAAATTGAATACACTGGACAACGTAAGAAAAATAACCTCAGCAGTGGAATTGTACTGTATAATTTTGTCTTCATTTCTAATAAAGATGTTGCAGGACTTTCGACCGTGATATCCCTTAAAGATATACCCCTGTCACGCCCCAGCTGTGTAAAGTCACAAGAATATAAGTAGAGAGTCAACACGTGTTAACTTCACTTTCACCTGTTCTAGAATATATGCATCACTTATTCTAGCCAACTACGAAGAAACTTCCAAGAAACGGTAACACGTATCTCCCTTTGCTGTCCGTCACCAAAAATCATTTCCTAAAAGTCCCATCATTATCTTTAAGTTATCTATAAATTCCACTTATCTGATTTTGTATTCCAGTGGAAGACATTTTCGCGTGAATTTCGTCAACACGAATAAGCGATTCTTACGCTTGATTTATTTTTTATATGTACCGGTAAACTTGTATCATTCAGAAAACACGTAGAAATGTAAAGTAACTACTGTTCTTATTGATTAAAATTTAACATATTTGTGTTATATAACTAACGGTTTCCAGTGATATGTTTATAGATTTCTACGTTATCAAAATGTACAGTATATATAGTTACACACCTCCTCTATTGTTCCTTACAGGTCTATCTTTTTCGGATAGACCTGTTTAAACAAAAGAAATCCCGTGAACAGGTCTATTTTTGCACGTGCACAGGTCTGGTCTTGAAAGAAAGACCCGGGCATGTGAAACACGTGTAAAAACAAACCTGCCTGCAAACAAAGAAAACTGTAAAATTGCAAATGAATGAAAAAATAAGAGGGCACAAAAATGAATTTATAATACGAAAAAAGATTTTAACAGAGGTCATGATATTGTTGTAAAGCAATTTTCCAACGTTCCTATAACATTTTTCTGAAAAATCATATTTCAGTCTTTCAAGGAAAAATAAAGAATACAAAAAGACATGTTTTATTTTTAATATCCAATTGTTTTAAGAATACATTTACAGAATCATGGTTTTTTTCGGCAAAGTTAACATATTTAATACATTATCCGTAATCGCTCTCGAAATTCAGTAGACAAAACCACAGTGCCGTTCTACATCTTTATTTAAAACGGAGTTATTCTGTTAAATACTTGGGCCAGACTTGAAATTGAATATTCCCTATTAAAAACATAAAAGTTAAGCAACAGAGAATGTTTTCTTCAGTCTGGATTGAAAATATGGTACAATTACATTTAGCGTCTTTTCTAAATGTCTTTTTTTGTCAGAACTCACAAGATACATTACTTTATTAAATGCACGATTTTCCGCTTACGTGTTATAAATTACATTTTAAATAGAGTATAATCAGAAGTACAGTAAATGCCCATCATTCATTTACATGCAAGCACATGCAATTACTAAACAATGGCATGCGTAATTATAAATAACTGCATGAAAAAAGTACATGTACATGAACATTTCTTTTTTAAATGTGTCGACAAGAAAGTTAATAAAATTAATGAATTTTCTTTTTTTTTTTCAAAGTTTTTTTGGACAACGTGTTTTGATATCATTTTGTTCAAATCCCAAACATTTTTAAGCAGATGCCTCCAGATTCATACTTTTTTTCGTGAAAATTTTAGAATTTTGCGAAGTGAACAAAATAGGTAACAAGTACAAATGTTGCTGCAATGCAGCAATTGAGAAGCTCCGCGCAAAAAATGCGCTCATTACAAATACCTTACCAAATTATTCCTACGCACAGGTCATGTTATATTCAGATTAAGTACTATTGTAGATTTTTTCCGAATGTTTTGTAAACCATTTTTTGCATAATTATACTTATCTTATGCACTGTCCATAATTTAAAAGAGGGGAAAGATATTTAATATAAAAAAATGCTTTCACTGATGCCTACCTGGTAAGGAAAGTAATTCCATTGAATACAAACTTACAAGACTTGTAAATGTTATGTGACATGACTGTACTATGTTCTGTTGTGTCACTACTGTAGTCAGTAACATAAGATGATATAAATATCAAAGTCTGTTGTTTTTTATTATTATAATTGTAACAAATATACAAATAGTAACAAAAGGGACTAGTATTATAATATACTAATATGACATGCATTTCTTTTCATGTCAAATAAAAAAAATGGTTGCTTTCAATAATGAAAGTAGAACACACTCTGGAATGAAAAAAAAATGGGATGGATTTCAAAAAGACCACATTCAGGATTTTTTTGTTTGTTATACACACGCGTTACATGGTGATACAGTGTTTATTAATATAATAGAAGACTGTTACCTAAATTTTAGGCATGTAGGGGAAATTCTCGTGCGAGTCAAAGATATAGAAGCTATTTGACATTGGTGATATATATAAAAAAATCTTTTGTTAATTGATTTATTTGGAGATCAATATACTTTATTGTTTAATTGCTTTAAAACCATTCATAAAAAACATTACACTTCATGTTCAAAATGCAGATCAAATCAATGATGCTATCTATCTATAGCCTATGCTTAATGAGGGTCCATCCGCTCGTAAGGCCACATAATACAGGTTTCGCTGTCGAGTACGGACCCCGGACATGTCACCAGTCATACCCTTCGCAGGATGAGCTATTTTTTTACGGACAGGTCGCGTTACGACAAAATGCCTCAAACAAAATTAAATACTTTATCAATTTTGAAAGAAAATATTAAAAAGCTCACCAAAATAGTGTTGGAGAACCCATAAGTTTATGATGCACCAATGACAGATTAAAACAACAACATCTGGTCTTCGGTTGCTAAAGAGATGTTATTCAAAAACCTAACCGGATATTCAATGTTTTTCCTTTGTCTTTTTACCTAATTCTTTGATATTACAACTGGTTTTGGTATTTGAATGAAATTATATCACATTCTACAAATAATTATCTTCTGTTCGATATACTGTAATTAAAAGTGTGTAGAAATTAACGTTCATCTGGACTAAGACTCACGGACATACCCCGGTCACGGATCACGGACGCGGGTCTCGTACCATTGGAATAGCGGCCTGTTGAGTTATGTTTGAAGCACAAAGTGGTGTGCTGTATCACTGACGACAATGAAATGTAACCTTATATACTAATGTTTAATTATTTCAAAACAACCAATATATCAACATGTTATTATTAAACATTTAATTTCATAAATATAAATTAAGAATAATTATCAAAAGCAAAATTATTAAAGTTTTATACATGAAATCTTCTTTATATTGACAAATTCAATCATTAATATATATTTAATACTTGATATGCTGTGTGTAAATTAATTCAAAATGTAACAAATTATAATATCATGTACTACTAAAAAAGGGAAATAACAAATGTATAACCTAAGTGTCAAAAATCAGAACATTTATAGCTATTTATAGCTTTCGAATTCATGTACAGCAGAACTGCTTACCTGTTCTGATTCATTAATATGACATGTTGCGAATCACCGAAGGGAAAACCAATATAGAAATCGAAAGGAGTTCTTGAATGCGGATTTAGTTTTAGTTGTAAATCGAAGGGATTAAATGATCAAATCCGGGCCCATGGACAAAAAAAAATAGTAAACACAATTACCTCCGCGCCTGTGGGCGCGGAGCAATTAACACATAAAAAACGGCACTCACAAAATTACAAACCACCTAAATTACTAAATAAAGTCAAAATTTACAAAATAAGCCTTTATCGCATTAGTCATGCAGTAGAAATATGATGGTGAATGCAGAAAAATTAGTCATTAATCGCACATAACATGCAAATTATTAATTGAAATTTTATTCGTTTTACAAAATCTTAGCAATTTTTTCTCAATTTTGATTTCTTGATATATTTCGTCTCATCTGGAAGCATGCAGCTTTAATGTTTCTTACATCGACCTATAATGCACCATTACAATCGTTTAAAGTTGCATATGAATATGTACCTCCGAGTTTGACACGTTAAAAACATTTTGTTTACTTGTTTGTTCGGCAACAGTCGTGCTTGTTTATGCTATATTTGACCCTTGCAATACATTAGAGACTAAGCGCTTTTGTTGATCACTTGAGCGCTTGTAGCTAAACAGGGCATTACTTCTATTCCCTGTTTGCTCCATGATTAACTGCTCAGGAATGTTTTCCTGGAATAGGCGTGTAGCTGTGGCAGCCCTCAATGAATGATTAGTGAAATATCCCTCAAAGCCTGCAGTTTTCATAATTGTTTTAACAAAATCCTTCAATTTATTATGGCCAACAGGAGTAAGAGAATACCAAACATCGTCCATGGGTTTTACAAGTGGGTTGAAATAAAAGGCAGAATGAGAATAGTTTGGGTTAAGCTTTAAAAGATACTGCTGAAATAGCGTAACTGGACAACGTTTACTCCCCTTTATTTCATAAGCCCTAGCTTTGTGTGGATCAATCTGGCGATGCTTGATACCACCCTTATACGTTTTAGACACGCTTTCACAGTACTCTAGATAGAACACTTCATCCTGATCTTGTAAAATTTTGAAATTTTCTAAGGTCAAATTTCGGTGTTCATCCCCACCGCGTAACCCAAAGTTAACCCCAATTGTCCAAAATATAGTGTAAAGCAGGCTTTGAGGGTTTTCGTTACCCAAAATTCCCTGTTCCCATAAAGCGTTTTCCTGCTCTTTCGTAATGGCCGCAGCTTGTTTTTTTATAAACCCCACCCCTTGCTTAGTAACGTTTTGCATAGAATTGTCAAGACATGTTTTGAGATCATTAAATTGTGGATCATTCAAAAAAGAAACCAGGCGGCCATTGATTTTAAGGTGTTTTTGAAGACTTGTAACTACTGAAAACAAACTACCACTTGTATATTCACTGCCATTTTTTTTCTAAGAGACAAAATAAAACTGCATAAAGCAGTGTTTAAATGTTCATTTGACAGCTTTGTCATGTCCTGCTCTGCTTCCAAAATGTTGACTAATTTAACGTCTTCCCGTAGACGTAACACATATGCGGCCCAGTCTTTGTACATGTTCAGCGCCCAAGTGGTCTTCCTTAAAGTGTTTGGCGGTATTTGGGGTTTGGACATATGATTCACATGTTCTTTGGCTACACACCTGAATCTTGTTGAGTCATCTGTAAAATACAAGAAGCATTTTCTTGTTCTATAAATACATGTAGTAAGACCTTTCACTGTTTACAGGATTTATTTTAACAGATTATTTTAATTTTTATGGTGACTGATTTACGCCATGTCGTGTTTTCGCTTCTTTGCCTCCAAAATGCGGAAATTCGAAAACACTAATGGATGATAATCGAGGCGAAAAAGAGAAAATACGGCAAAAGAAGGGCGAAAATAGGGCACGTAAAATCTATCGTCTATTTGCATATCATCTGTTGGATTTTCAATTTTCGTTTTATTGCATTTTGAGATTTTCGTCTTGTGTTTTCGCTTTTTTGCATTATTGTACTTTTACAATTTTTTTTTCAACTAAAGACACTGTTATTTGTTCTTATTTTTTGACAATGTTTAACAAAATGTACAATATGCTACGTGCTTTCGGTGTCACATGAAATTCGTGACCAGGTCTTTCCTAGACAGAAAGACCTCGTACTCGGTCGATATCCTATACATACACGTATATAGTTCAGTTATGCATAGGATCTATTTCGGAATGACACTTAAATTTATATATAATAATGATTATCCTTCAACATTATGCTTGTTTTTTTTTTTAATTTTTAATAATATGCTTCCCGAAGGGTGAGCATACAGTCGCGGCTTTGTCCGCCAGTCCGTCCGTCTGCTATTCTTGCCCTGGACATAACTTTGGAACAACAAGAGGTATCAACATGAAACTTAAAAGTAAGATAAGTCTGATTGAGAAGATGTGCAGTGCACAAGAACCGTGACTCTGCCTTGCCTATTTTTTTAATTATTGCCCTTTGTTTAATTTTTCACTTTAAACTTCGTCCGGGACAAAACTCTAAAACTATAAGAGATATTAGCATGAAACTTTGTAGGTTGATATATCTTGTTCTGTAGAAGTGCAGTGCTAAAGAACCGTAAATATGGCAAATTTTACACATAAACTGGATCCAGTGATAACGCAAAAAGTACTGGAAATATTTTTATGCAACTTGACATATGGGTAGATGGCAGTCTTGAGATTATGCATGTCTTTTTCTTTTCTTCCTATATTGAAAATTCTGGTTGCTATGGCAACAAATAGGCTGAAAATATGGCAAATTTTACACATAAACTGGATCCAGTGATAAAGCAAAAAGAACTCGAAATATTTTTATGAAACTTGACATATGGGTAGATGGCAGTCTTGAGATTATGCACGTCTTTTTCTTTTCTTCCTATGTTGAAAATTCTGGTTGCTATGGCAACACATAGACTGAAAATATGGCAAATTTTACACATAAACTGAATCCAGTGATAACTCAAAAAGTACTGGAAATATTTTTATAAAACTTGACATATGGGTAGATGGCGGTCTTGAGATTATGCATGTGTTATCTGTTCTTCTATTTTGAAAAAATATCAGTTGCCTTGGCAACAAATAGGCTTAAATCATGGCAAATATAACAATATTTGTGATAAGTCAAAAAAGAGCTGAATTTTTTTTATGAAATTGCATCTTTAATTCAAGAGTTATCTCCTGTTTAAGATTTTGCTTTTAAAATGTTATATTTTGGTAACAGGGATGTTTCAAAATATTAACTTTAGAGTGTCCTTCAGTCCGTCTGTCTGTCTGTTCATAAAAACTGTTTCCTGTGATCACTTTTAAAGAACTTTTCCAACAAATTACTTAAAATAGAGAAAACTTGAAACATTAGTGAAAGGCCCTTCAGAATGTTGATGGGGTTCTAACCGGTAGGGGACTTATGGATTGCTTGCAATACTATGATAATTGCTTGTTATACTTAGAACTTTGTCCGAGACATAACACTAAAACTATAAGAGATATCAACATGAAACCTTGTAGGTAGATAGATCTCACAAAAATACATATTTATATATTTGTATGGGAGGCGGGGGGGGGGGCGTACAAAGTGGTTCACACTATTGGAAAAAAATCGTATAACGCCGATTCATAATTTCTAATGCACCAACATGTATAGTTTCAATATGACTTATGGATTCTGTTTTTTCTCCATTTTATTGTCACATCCGTGTTATTTGTGCCGTGTTGCGGCTGTTAAAAGTCTCCCCGTACATTTAATCAATGATGTTATATTTTCGATCCTTGAAGATCGTTCAGCACGACGTGTATACATGTTATTTGGTACTTTTAGTTTCTTCTCTTCGGCCTTTTTCTATTTGGGTGGTTTCAGTATTTCTACTTGAATACTGTATAACACCCTTAAGATATGTTGCCTGCTTTTCAAATTTGTCTTTTGACGTCTTATCTGTGATACGCAGGCTTCATAACCTCCGTTCCCCTTTCAAAATTCCATTTTATTTAGTTCCGCCCATTGTTTTCTCATTTAGGGCACAAGTATTCTTTTACTTGGGGATCATACGCCGCTTTTCATGGAATGGCACTGGCCATTTATGTGTTGACGTGCCGTAAAAATCCAAACAAACAGAAACAAAACTGTGTCACATTGAAGGTTCCATGATGATCACCGTATGATGTTTCTATGATTTTCGTGGTTAATGTTGAATTCTGCTTAAGCCGGTGCTAGGGGGCGTGGATGGTAACTTGCACTTACCAGTCCCATGAACAGGCTCAATCAAACCGAGCCTGCAGCATTTTCAATTTTGACGTGTTAGACTTTTTTCAGGGATTCTGTTTTTCTCCATTTTACTACGGATGAAAACAACAAGGTTTAAAAATTTAAACCAGCATTCGCACAAATGTAGGAGACAAATTGAAAATTTGGCTTTGCTGATTGAAAAAAGGTATATTGTGCATTGCTTTGCATATATTTTCACCGGATATTCATTACTTTTATAAATTTGATTTATTCTACGTCTTTTTGATACAATCCGTTTAGACGTTGAAAAAAGCCTTGATAATATAAAGCGTTACAATGTTAAACAAGAAAAGCATTGATGCAAAGCATCAAAGGGCGACGCCAAAAGAATTTGATCCAGGTTTGCACCTAAATACTTAACAAAAGATGTGTACTTTATAGCAGTACCATTTCATGTGATCTGGAGGCTAGGCCCAGTTTAAGTTGAAACTTAAACCAAAAAGAAAAGACTCTGTCTTGCCAAGATGCAAAGACAATTTATAGTCAATTAAGTAATCTTACGATTTATTTTACCAAATACAAGGATACCTGAGTCATCATCATATAATCACAGGCACGAGTATCGGACCTGGGAAGAAAAAGTATGACCAGATTGATAAAAAACTGTGTTCATCTTAAAAGTGTCACAAACCAAAAAAATGTAAATAATGACCCCCTTTAAAAATATACTATTAATTTAAAGTATATTTTTAAAGGGGGTCATTATTTACATTTTTTTGGTTTGTGACAATTTTAAGATGCACACAAGTTTTTTTTATCAATCTGGTCATATTTTTTCTTCCCAGGTCTGATACTTGTGCCTGTTCATATAATAAAAGCTTATTGCTTAGGTTGCAGACATGTCATTGACATATATTACACATAAAAGGGGACCTAAAATGAACATCAGGGGGACACCATAGGTACTCAGAGCAGTAGTAGAAGGAGTACCAGCCACATCAACCAGCTGCTATCAGAGATAAGACTTGAACCATGTAAGAATGTCATTACTTATGACAGATGCTTGAAGTTCCATGAAGAAGAAGAAAAAGAACTTCTTCATGTGTAGTATAGTGTGATCAACTGTATCAAATGCTTTTTGTAGATCTAAAAGTATCATGCAATACTGCCTTTGTCCATTTCAAATAAAATACAATCTATTAAATGAATCAAACATGTGTCAGTTGAAAAAACCACTTCTAAACCCTGACTTAAACTGCCTGACCATGACTCGAACCCATGACTTTCAGAAGACCAACTGAGCTATCCGGCCGGCTACACATTTTCTCTTTAATAATGAAATAGTTCTAAACCACAACATATTTCCCCACTCTATTGGTTTATGACCTTGAATTTCTGATGTTTACAGTGCATAGTGAATTAAACTCATGGTTTATATGCAGTCACTGGATGAGAGAAACTTTCAGCTTGACCAGAACTCAAACCTGTGACCCACAGAATAATGTACTGCGGCTGTAAGCGATTGAACTATCTGGCCGCTTACACATTTTCTGGCCTGAATAGTGAACAGTTCTAAACCGTGACAGATATTTAGATTTTTAAATTAACAGATAATTAATTCTTAATTAATAAATAAGAAATAAAAACCTTACATACCCATAGTCTAAATTAAAATAACAATTTATATATTACATATAATTATTTTTACTAAAAAGGGCTTAGACAGTAAACTATTGGTTGTGCCATTATTTATAACAGGTCAATTTGAAAGTGAACATAACTGTAATAATACATGTACAATATCTATTTTTTGTACAGATAAAAAACTAACCCTTTTTCTATGATAAGAAATTTTATGAAGGCTGATTTGTATTTTGCATCAAGGGCACTGGGCGAAAACAGGAAAATGCAACAAACTCACCACTTTGTGTCTGGCGCCCGGTTACTTTTTTGTACTTTGTTAGTTTTCATGTGGCAAAAATCACCCGCTATAAAATTGTGTGTACAAATTTATTCAAGGGCAAGTAACAATCTA